GATGTAGTCCCATATGTTTAGTTTTTCTTTTGTTTCTCTTGCCCTAGGAGCTGTATCAGTGAAAATTCCACTATGTGGGATGTCTGTGACTTTACTGCCTATGTTTTCTTCCAGGATTTTTATAGTTTCGCAACTTATTTTTAAGTCTTTTATCCATTTTCAGTTTATTTTTGTGTATGGTGAAAGTTGGTGGTCTAGTTTCATTTTTTTGCATGTAACTGTTCAATTTTCCCAGCACTGCTTATTGAAGAGACTGTCTTTACTCCATTGTATGCTCCTGCCTCCTTTGTCAAATATTAACTGACCATAATGGCGTGGGTCTATTTCTGGGGTCTCTGTTCTGTTCCATTGATCTATATGCCTGTTGTTGTACCAATACCAGGCTGTTTTGATTACAATGGCTTTGTAGTACAGTTTGATGTCTGGTAAAGTGATCTGTCCCGCTCTGTTCTTTTTTCTCAAGATGGCTGCAGCTATTTGGGGTCTTTTTTGGTTCCATATACATTTTCAAAATGTTTGTTCTAGATCTGTGAAATATGCTGTTGGTATTTTAATAGGAATTGCATTGAATTTATAAATTACTTTGGGTAGTATGGACATTTTAATGATATTAATTCTTCCAATCCATGAGCATGGTATATTCTTCCATTTGTTTATATCTTCTTCTATTTCTTTTCTCAGTGTCCCGTAGTTTTCTGAGTACAAGCCTTTTACATCCTTGGTTAAGTTTCTTCCTAGGTATCTAATTTTTCTATTTGCAATGGTAAATGGTATTGTTTTTTTAGTTTCTCTCTCTAGAAGTTCATTGTTGGTGTATAAAAATACAACTGATTTCTGGATATTTATTTTGCTTTCTGTTACTTTACTGAATTTATTTATCAATTCTAGCCATTTTTTGGTAGAATCTTTAAGGTTTCCTCTGTTTGGGTTTTAAAGCTCTTAAGCCTTCATAGCAAAAGGCAGTTTGACAAACAAAGATCCTGTCCTCTTTCCTTATCAGCCCAATTTAGTGGCCTGTTTTAAAGTCTATGATTGATTTTTTTTTCTTCTTAGAATAAAATCCAAACTTTATACCTGGCCTCCACAGCCTGTGTGATCTGGTTCCTGCCTACCTCTTTAACTACATCTTTTATTCTTCTGCCTCTCACTCACTGGTCTCCAGCCAAGTCCTTACCCTCTTTGGGTCTTCACACTGTTGTGTCCTCTGGTTGAAATGTACTTTGTTGGGCCCTTCCCAAGCCCAACCACTGTTTGGGTCTCAGCTAGAGGCATTCCCTGAAACATCACCCTATCTGAAGGAGATTTCGCAGGGTCTCTGTTACATAGCTCAGTTTATTTGTGTCATAGTATTAATTACAATCGGTAATTATCTTGAGTATAGGTTGTTGTGCTTCTTTACTGTTTCACTCCTTGCAGTAGATTATGAGATCTCTGTGGGCAGGGATCTTGTCTTGCTCACACCCATTGTTTTCAGCACCCAAAACTATTCCTATCAGAGAGCAGGTGCTTAATTAGTATTTGTTGAATGAACAAAACATTCTCCTTTGTTATGGTGGACACCAAGGACCTAGTCTCAGCCTGCTGTGCTGGGTGTTCTCCTTTTGCCCTTCTAAATCCACTCTACTTTTTTCTATCTGACTATGTGACCTGGGAAATTAAAATTTGGTACTGTGTCCACTAGGCTTCCTCGCCCTCTGGCTTTTATTTGGTGTTGAATAATAAAGGTGCTGGTATGAAACTGTGAAGAAGGGGAGTGAGGTCAAGCTATCTGTCCCCCAGGGTCTGTCCTGGCAGAGTAACCATAGGCTGCTTCTTTCTCTTGACTGAAAGTCTCAGCCCTTTTCAAACAGCCCTCACGGCCTCTGAGTCCTGTTCTTCCCCTTTCCCCCTTCAGGGCCTAGAAATCAGCAGGAAGAAGGAAAGAGAGGTTGGGGTATTGATTCCTCTCTTGCTGGCAGGACATTAGCAGTAGCTGTATTCTTGAGTCCACAGTTCCTAACAGGTGGCCTTCTGCTTCTCTTGCCACATTCGCTGTAGAGGTAGTAATGGTTCCCTGCTGTTACCAACCCTGGGGTATTGCTTCATTCCTTGCTGATTTCCTTAATCTCTACCTACAATTTGTAAATAGTCCTTTTTTTTCAACTCTCGATTAGTACTCCTTTTGAGCTTGTCATTCTTTCCTGTTGGGAGCCTCAGATGAATCATTTATCACCTGTGAGAAAAGAAAGTTGACTAAGTGAAATTTCTGATGGATCTTCATTTCTAGCATGATTATTACTAGTCACCTGTGAAACCAGAGATTGATTCTGACCAAAAGTAGTGCAATCTGAATTGTGTAAAGATGTACCTTCTGCTATATTTGTAGTACAGCGTGCTTGCCCTGTAAACTTATCAGGTTTGGACTATGCACAGGTCATGCAATTTTCAAGTGCTTTTGATAAGATTTTGTCCAAGGATGGAAGATTGGGTTGTTGTGAAAGAGAGGTCTAGATTCCTCAGGTTTCGTAAGTATGTTAGAACTGAAGTAAAGAAGTAGGCTTTCATCCTTTAATTCTGAGGGTATTCTCTTTTCAGATCATCTTGTTTTGAGTTATATGCCCACCCCCCAACCCCTTTCTCCTGATGCCACCTTTGTGGATAAAGAACCACCCAAAATAAACTTATGTGAAGAGAAATAGAACCACGGAAGATTGACCTGACCTCCAAATCTGTGCAGATTTCAGTGGTGAACCCAAACTTGCTTGATCAAGTAAGGCTGGGATGAACTCTCATAAGATTACAGAGGCTTAGGATTGGGATGAATCATAAAAGTCAACAGTTACCTCCCCCATTGAATTGGTCAATGCCAGTCAATTTCTCCAAGTCTTCCAAGCTCTGCTTAAGCAGCTACATGAACTAGAGCCAGGGAGAGAGTAGATTTTTTAAAATGGTCTGTTTGATCTTGGCTGGGTTTAGGACATTGTTTCTGATAAATAACTTAAAAAAAAGAAAAGAAAAAAAAATATGGGGTTTAGTTTAGCTCTATGACCTTCTCTCCCTTCTCTGCCACCACCAGGTTGTGACTCTTTCTAGGCTTCAGATTCTTAAATGGAACACTTGGGGTGTGGTTCTTGGATGCCATAGTGAATCCCTCCCATTTGTTGGGCACTGCAAGCTTTTAAGAGTGTAATGGGGTGCTTTGCACTTATAGGTTAGACCGAGCTTATGGTAGTGTCTTCGTATTTCTCACAGTGATAGAAGTGTAACCTCCTGGTAATACTAAGAGAGTATTTGGTTTTGCTCCTTTGGTAACTGGAATAATGATCCCAATGGCCCCAGTCACTTTTCCACTGTCCCTAAACATACTGGTATTATTATTATTATTTAAATATATTTTTAAGAGAGAGGAAGGGAAAGGAAGAGAGAGAAATAGAAACATCAATGATGAGAGAGTCATTGATCGGCTGCCTCCTGCACGTCTCCCACTGGGGATCAAGCTTGCAACCCAGGCATGTGCCCTGACCAGGAATCGAACCTCTATCTCCTGGATCCTAGGTCGATGCTCAACAGCTGAGCCATGCCCAGCAGGGCCATACGGGTATTATTGAATGGATTTCAGGAATGCCATGATATGGACCTCTTTAGCCCTTGCAGTGGCCAAGCAGACAGGTGGTCATCTCTGTCTATGAACTTTATCCAATGCACCATACAAATATGATAATTTCTTCCTGTGTATCATGATGTGATAAAGATTGGGAAGTGTTATATTCTTCCCTCCCCTCCTGCCCTCTATTTCTCCACAACTTATCTCTTTCTTCATATTTCTGGTACTCATCACTTCTTGTTTCCTTGTGGTTTATAGATGATCATGATGCAGTCCTGAGGCTTAATGGGGCTCCTACAGCCAACTTCCAACAGGATGTGGGCATGAAAACCACCATTCGCCTAATGAACTCTCAGGTAAAATTTTTTCTGTGCAGACAGGGTTGTTTTGAGGAATAAGTGAGAAAATCCATGCAAAGCACTAAGTACCTGGCACATATGTTGGTAAAGTTAGGTACTCTGGTATTTATGTGTGCAGACATTGAGATGGATGTGGGGGATACAGTGATGAGCAAAACAGACTTGCCCCTGTTCTCATGTTACTAACAGATACAATCAAATAGTCATACAAAGAAATTTAAAGTTGCTGTAGAGAACTAAAGAAGAGGGTCAGGATGCTTCCAGAGCCCATAAGAGGGAAATTTTCCCTTATTAAAGAAGTCAGGAAAAGTGAGGAGGTGTTACATAGCTGTGTAGGAAGAGAGGGGGAAGGCAAGAAGGGTGGGGGCAAGAGTTTTCAAGAAGAGGCAATGGCGTAGGCAAGGCCTTGTGGAGGGGAGCAGGGGCAAGAGGACCTAGGAAGAGATGAATGTATGTGGGGCGGGGTAGTGGGGGGGTGGTGTGTGGTGAGAGATGAGGCTGAAGGCAAGAAGGTACCAAGCTATGGGGCTGCATTTAAGTATTTTTAATTTTATTAAATTTATTGGGGTGACATTGGTTAATAAAATTATATAGGTTTCAAGTGTATAATTCTACATCATCTGTATATTGCATTGTGTGTTCACCACCCAAAGTCATATTTTCTTCCATTACCATATATTTGACCTCCTTTACCCTTTTCTACCCCCTTTAGCTCTGGTACCACCCATTCTGTTGTCTGTGTCTCTGAGTTTTTGTTTGTTTGTTGCTTTCAGTTTTATATCCCACATATGAATGAAATCAAATCATGTTGTTCTTGATTTTTTGCATCTGATTTATTTCACTTAGCACAATATTCTCAATATCCATCCATGTTTTCAGACTTACATTTTGTAAACATCCCTGGCTTCCATGTGATCAAAAGCCCTACAGTGGATGGAGAAACACAGTTTGGAGGCTTTTGGAGCACCCTGGAATAGAAATGCTGGTAATTGCACCAGAGTAGAAATTAAGGTGAATGTGAGAAAAGACTGGATTTGAGAGCTATTTGGTATGTGCAGTCAACAGGCTTTAGTGTTGGATAGGCTGTGAGAGGTGAAGGAAGAGGGACCACAGGTATAATGGGTTTCTGGCTTGTGTAACTGGCTGGCTAAAAGTCACTGAGATTGAAAGTACTTGAAGATATTTTGGGTTGTGAGGGCTAGGATCAGAGGGATTGGGTAGAGATAAAATCTTGGTTTTCGAATATGGTTGATCTGAGCTGCTTTTTAAATGTTTATGAGGAGGTGTTAAGTAGGCAGTTGTACAAATGGGACTGGAGTTCAGTGGAAAGGTCTAGGCTGGAGATAAGAGTTTGTGAATCATCTCTATCTATGTGGCAATGAACTAGTGTGACTGAATGAGAGGACTAGAGAGTGTGTAGAGAAGGGAGAGGAGAAGTCTTAAGCAGGGGCTTTGGGGAATGAAAACAGAGCACTGTCCAATGCTGCTGAGAGACCAGTTGATGAAGATGGAAAAGCATTGTTCTCTCTCTCTCTTTTTAAAAAAAAAAATAAATATTTTTTTATTTCAGAGAAAGGAAGGGAGAGGGAGAGAGAGAGATAGAAACATCCATGATGAGAGAGAGTCATTGATTGGCTGCCTCCTGCATGCCCCCTGCTGGGGATTGAGCTCGAAACCCGGGCATCTGCCCTGACTGGTAATTGAACCTTGATCTCCTGGATCCTAGGTTGATGCTCAGTCTCTGAGCCATGCCTGCCCAGCCATTGTTCTCTCTTTAGAAAAATGGAAACCACTGGTGACCTTAGCAACAGTTCTTTAGGAGAGTGCTGAAGCCAGCCAGAAGCCAGATTGGAGTGTATGGAGGACCGAGTGGCAGGAGTGAATGAAAAAAAAAGTGGATAGTTCTTTCAAGAAGTCTGGTTCTGAAGGGCAGGAGAGAAATAGGGCAATTGCTCTTGAGAGTTAAGGGACCTAGGGCCAGATTTTGTTATTTTTATTTTTTAGATGGGAGAGAATTGAGTATGTTTAAGAGTCAATGGGAAGACAGTCACAAAAGGGCAAATATTGTATGATTCCACTTATATGAAGTACCTAGAGTGGTCAATTCATAGAGACAAAAAGTAGGATAGTGGTTTCCAGGGCTTTGGAGGAGGGAGGAATTATTGTCTAATGGGCACAAGGTTTCAGTTTGGGAAGATGAAAAATTTCTGGAGATGGATGGCAGTGCTGGTTGTACTACAGTGTGACTGTACTTAATGCTACTGAGCCATATTCTTAAAAATAGTGAAAATGGCACATTTTATGTATATTTTACCACAATAAAAAAATTAACTCAGTGAGGGGAAATCAGTCGATAAAGGGAGAAATTGAATATGCTAAAAAGAGAAGTAAATGAAGCAGTAGAGGGGGTAGATCCAAAGCCCAGCAGGAGGGAGTCGGAAGGAAAAAGGAAGAGGGGTGTAGCTGGGGGAGTTAGTAATGGAAGCATGAAAGGGCTTCTGTTTCTCTGCAAAGTAGAATGCAAGGCCCTGTCAGAGGGAGGCTGAGGAGGGGAAGAAGGAGAGCTTTTAGTAGAGGAGATGTGTAAGCCAAGAAGGTTTGAAATTGTTTGGGGAGAGTAGAGGAAGGAGTAGACCAGTAGAATGGGGTAAAACTTCCAGGCCATGCTGGCCATATTGAGGCTGGAGAGCATGAATTCAGAGAGAAATCAAGCTCTGTTTGATCAAGGTTGGTATGGTCAGTAGGTAACAGCAATAAAGAGAGGGAGCTTGGAGGAGCTCTGCAAACTCAGATTGGGGAGGCTGCCTGCTTCTTGGGCATCTCTCCAGGTGTTTAGTGAGGAACTAAATCTCCATCCCACAAAGATTCTGGAATCTTATTTAAAGCCAAGGTAAGATTGCCTGGGAATTAAGAGACAGACTTTGATCAAATTCCCTCCTCAGTACTTCCTAGGTGAGTGACTGGAGCAAGTTGCTTTATCTTTCTGAGTCTCAGTTCCCTTATTTGTAAAGGAAAATAAGAAGTGTTACCATGTGTGGTCTTTGTAGGAGCAGATGAGGTTACTAAGCATGGAGCTTTTCACTTGGAGGCTGGTATGCAGCTCCAAGTGCTCTGCAAGTGCTCTGTAAGAGGCCGTGAAGCTCGCCTGTGTCTGTTGGGACATCACTGTGCCTTCCCAGATCCCAGACAAATGGGCCTCTTGTCTCCTGGCAGGGATGGTCAACTGGCTGGGGGCCTCTTGGGGGGCGCCCAGCACAAGGTGAGGTAAGACTTCTACAAAAGGATAATTTTTAGAAAAAAAGTAAGATCATGACCTTCATATAGATATAAAAATGAACTTGGGTTAAGCAGTCTATGTTATTCATATGAGAGAACTAGGCAGATGTTCTAACCAGTTCAGGGGAAAAGTCAAAAGAGCACAAATTCTGAGTAAAAGAGTGAAACTTTTTATCTGTGAGGTGGAAAGGAGGAGGCGGGAAGTCAGTTGAAACTACTGGGCAAGATAGGGTAAACATGTCTATAGTTAACTACAGTTTACAGAGTTGTAAAACAGCTGCCATAGGACTGGAATCTGACGAAGAGAAAGGGGGTGCTGAGGACAGTGCATTGTTTCTCACTGAGAACGGCATTTTTCCCTCTACCTCCAGATCGCTGTGTTCCCTCTGCCAGGGCTGAGAGGTGGGTGACCACACTGTCCACTCTCAGGAAAGCCTTTCCCAGTCCCCCTCACGCACACCGACCCTCCTCCCTCTCCTTCCATACATGGCACTATGCCTCTGGGCTGTTCCTTTAACACTTTTTTTCCAGGCCGCTCCATGACAGTGCTTCCTGTGATACTGACCTGTGACCGACACCTTCCTATCACTGTCCTTCCTCACTGTCTGTCTTCTCTATCTTTTGTCTTGGTTATCCCAGCTATTTTGTGTCAGTTTCTGTGAAGGAGCAAAGTGAGTGCCACCACTGCACACTGAGAGCAGCTGGCACCAAGGCACTGGGAGAGGAGCTGTCGCTTTAGTAAATTCTACCTGGGAGCAGCTCCTTCTCTCCCCACAGGGAGAGCTCTTCCTGATGGCAGCTGTCTCTGATGGCAGCTGGGCCCGGGTTTGTTCAGCTCCCTACCTCCCTTGGGTGGCACCTTTTGTGCATCTGGGCAGAGACAAATCAACGGAAAACAAAAGGTGGTTTTCTTACTGAGAAGGTAGCTTTTTATAGCGAATGGTCTCATACTGTGAAGTTTCAGCAAACCTATTCAGGCGTGTATGTGCCAGGCGGTGTTGGGAGAGTCAACAGGAAAATCATATATAGCAAAACGTGTGTGAGTCTTTAAATAAATTCATTTTTGACTTTTAGTGTAAGAAGGTTGAAACTCAGCTTCAGCCCCTGCTGCGCCCAGTGGCCCCGAGGGAGGGGACAATGGGGCACGAAGGCCTAGTGGCTTCCTAAGAAGCTCTCATATAGGTTGGGGAGAGAAAACCTAGGTGCTGTGGGTAGCCCTAGTGTGTGCTGACTGGACTTTAACCAGACAGCCTCAGATCACTCAAAGGGACTTTCCTGAGTAAGTAGCTATTGCTACTTAGTAAATACTTTCGTTGTCTAAGGTCCATGCATATTTTATTTTTTTGATACTCATGTGAGGTGTGATTACCAACCATTATCTTTTTTTTTTTTTTAAATATATCTTTATTGATTTCAGAGAGAGGAAAGGAGAGGGAGGGGGAGAGAGAGAGAAACATCAATGATGAGAGTCATTGATCAGCTGCAGCCCGCAACCCGGGCATGTGCCCTGACCGGGAATCGAACCCCGATCGTCTGGATCCTAGGCTGACGCTCAACCACTGAGCCACGCCCGGCCGGGCACCAACCATTATCTTAAATGAGGCCACTGAAGCTCAAAGTTTATGTATGCTCACCACCTCTACTTCCCTCACCTTGTGCTCTTGGACCCTTCTTTGACAGATGTTGTATTGTATGATTGTACACCTGAAATTTATATAATG